AGACAGTTTTTGATTTTCCATCCTCTTATAATTATTCTACTGAAATGAAGCAGTCATCCTACAGGGGAAGACATCTTGGTTGGACAGTTGGATTTCTCTGAAGTTGCAGGGTGAAAAGGATTTGAAAGCTTCATTTTAAGGGGTCACGAGCCTGATAGTTTGGGACCTGCTGCTCTATACTCACTGTATCCACCCACCATCCAACCTGCCACAGGACTGCCTGTCCAAGACTCATCTGACAGCACATCACAGAGAAACACAGCAATTAATAGGATGGTACCTCTGCACCCTCGCTAATTAGGCTTTCATATCAGAGCGGCTCCCTGTAATTATGGCAGAAACTGGTCGCGCTGCTCTTATGCTCACTGCAAACACTCATTAATTGCCGGCAGTGAGCTCTAAACTCTGTGCCAGATATTCGCTCACAGTTCAGAGGCAGAAAGAACCCATAGTACACATACTGAACATGAGATATACACAGTACTGTGTGATTTAAATGCACAACAACTCCAGGGTTCAATTATTTTCCATTTTCAATTATTCCAAGGTATTTTCACTTTGGAATTGAACTGCAGATGTTTCAGTTTAAATTGTATTTTGAAGACTTTGAGTATCATATGGGTGGATAAAGCATGTGTTTTCATACAAGACAGGATTATTGTCCATCTGTCATCAATCAAAAAGACTTTCAAGAAGAAACAAACCTAGATTCAGCCACACCGACAAAAGAGGAAGGTGAAAAGAGTGACAAGTTTACACAACAGACATGCTGGCACACAATGCCTGAATAGAAACAATGAATATTTGGCAAAGAAAAGAGGATGAACAGGCCACTAATTTTAGTAGCTAGATTAATGACTGAAAGGATAGAAGCTGTGGAGGAAGACAGCATTGGGTGATGATGAGCAGGAATTTAACAGGATGACTAGTGGATATGCAATGTTGTGACTCAGACGCAAGCAAAGAACCACAATGGAAAATGTATGATTTTGCAAGCATGCCAAGTCCCTTTGGCAAAGTGGAAAACATGTGAAATTGCTGTTTTTGGTCCTATAGGCCACCTTTTGAATTGCAGTAGCTCATCTAGCAGAACCAGACTGCAGCACGATCCACAAGAAAACAAAAGCAATAAATTCTACACCAAACTCACCACCACTACAATAATCGTTTGCACCGCAGTACAAGCAGGCATTTTCTATTATTAAAGTGGAGCCTGTGGTGCTTGAAAGCATCTTTGTGCTTTACTTGTGCTGGGTTCAGTAAGGGAAAGTTGCAGTTGAGAACTTTTTAACGTCAGTGTTTACTGATTCATTGTTTATAAGAGTATTTTTAACCCTGTAATTTACTTTTTGTGAAGCTAATGTTGCCTGTGGGGATTGGTGCATATTTGGTGAATATTTTTCAGGCTTAAGTGACACACATTGAGTTATTAAATACTATTTTTTAAAGAAGCTTTTAAAATCTGAGGAGATTGAGATTTCCGTCTCCGGATGAAGCTGATGTGCTATGACACATAGATGCACAACAGCTACTAAACTGATTTTGTGCCACCACTGTAAATATTGCACTTTAAACATCGAGAGTATAAAAAAGAAAAATCACACATGACTATAGAAAAATCCACATCATGAAATGTTACTAAGCTCGTGAGCTTATCACATCACCCCACAACAGTGTTGAACCGCTGCAATGCACACATACACGTTTAAACATGCATGGAGAATATATTAATACCCTTCATGAGATATTTATGAAAGCAATTAAACCTTTACAGCATAGCAGACCATTACATGAATGAATGAATATTCTTTCAATTTCATTGTACCTGTGACAATGACAATAAAGAATATTCATTCATTCATACAGTAACTCATATATTTCCCCATCTTAGACACAATTCTGCCTCTTACAGCCAAAATCCGTAAAACTGCATATGAGTTGACATGAGTACATTTTATGACTTCTCTCTCTTTCTTTTATATTGATGTTAGTTTATAGTAGAAGTGTTGTGATAATGATTAAATCCAGGTGACAGCTGCCAGTCCAATGTTTGCTTGTTCAGTGTTAGGCAGCATAAAAAAGTGATCACTATAAATACCTTATAAAGAAATAACGCAATAAAATGCTAAAAGAACATCATGAAGATCAGTTAATAGGGCAAAGTCTATAATGTATTTCAATTAAGGCTGTTGCTGCAGCATCTGTGTCACTTCCTGCTTAATCCCACCTTATCCACGTGTAAAAATGAAATTAAAATAAAAAGGAAGAAACACTGAGCATTTTGGTAATAATAATACTTTTGAACGAGCTTTGTCAGCAATTAAAAAAAAAAGACCACAGTTGTGCGGGTAATAGGATCAATGATGTATTTAAAGCTCTAGCTCCAGTCTCAGATCAGTTTGAGTGCTTCTCAGATATATCAGCAACGGGAAAACATTTCAAATTCTCTTCAGGAAAACGGCACTGTTTCTGCTTCAAGACGAATGTATCATCGAGGAAGATGTTGCAAGCACATGTGCTAAATGAAAAGAAAAATGTCTTGAAGGAGGAGTGCATTAGTATAATAAAATCATAGTGTGCGCAGGGAATCATTATTGTCACCAGGTGCCACATTTTGAAGTGGCTGATTCTCTTTTTTCGGTGAGGCCCAGTTACAAACCGAATGCCATAATTTAGTGGGCATGCAGCTCATTGCTTTGTGCCAATATTAAAATATTGCGGCATCGCATCTCAGCGCGTGCCGTGATGGATGCTGCGCGCACGAGCTGTTCTGGTGTCAGCTTTAAACCTCGTGTACGCAAACTCCAAATGGACCGGAGAGGTTGTGAAACTGAACCGCGATCTGCAGCTCCTAGTACACCAGAAAAGATCTCGCGTGGCTTGCATCCCACCTCCACCACTACAGCCGGAGGGAGAGAGTGGAAAGAGGTCTCACTCCGCTACTTTTTCTTTATTCTCTGCTTTGTGAAAAACCTCAAAACAAAACAAAACGAAACGGCCAGAAGAGAAAACATTAATTCAGTCTAGACCACAGCTTTTATGCACCAGTAGAAACATAATTTTGTTATTCCAGTGTGATCTATAGGGATGTCAAAATGTAACTATATTATAATTTGTATTATTTTATATTATTAATACATATAATATATTATGTATTTAGGTTTTTAAATTACTATCTTTATATTCAGACATTAGGCAAAAGCATGCACACACATAATCACTGAGTTTGCTAGCCTATAATAATATAAAATGAAGCATTGATTGCATAGACGCTAGTAGATATTGCATTTCTTTTTTGTAGAGGCTTAATATAAGTTTGGCATACTATTACCACAGCAAGAGGATGACGTCTGTCAGTCAAGTGTTTTTGATTTGTGGATTCTTTCTTATTCTATCGCTGGCCAGCTCAACCCAATTTTTTCAAGACAGTTTTATTTATATAACACCACAACAACAGTGGCCTCAAGCTGCTTTATATTGTAAGGAAGATACACTGCAATAATAGGTCATGTCGACTGTTCACTGCAGGCCCAAATCAGCTCATGTCATGTCTGCCAATGGGCATGTGGGCTACTGGCTGCAGCACTTCAACACTTTTGTGTTTGCATTTAATAATACACTGTAAAAGCTGGTGGAAAGATGTTCTCAAAATTAATTACGTTCATAAAACATTAAGTTATGATTTACCGTTCTTCACCTGATAAAATGTTAAGACATAACTTTCACAGGCTGCTTATGTGAAGTGATCTCCTGAATATATATATGTGCTGGTTCTGTTATAAATGGGAGCTATTGAGCATTTATGAACTCTACCAGAATGGCTTTTCATTATTAAAATCTCTAAATAATGTTATTTTATGTTTTATTTGTTGATTTTTAATTTGCCACAGCATACCTCACACAAAAAAACATACAAGAGGGTCCCCACACACAAAAAATACATGGAGAATTAAAGACAATGCAGTTGCCACGGCATATGGTATCTTGTTTACACATAAATAATTCCTCCATTTGTATAATGAATAAATGCTAAACACACTGGTATTAATGGAAATTTTCTACTCAATTTGAGCAAACACTTTGTTCCTACAAGCCTCATTCACACATTCATACAACCCTTTGTTTACTGTGCCTAAGCACCTTTAACCAAACATTCACATACTCACACTCCAATGCATCAGGGGCAGCTCTACGTTCAGTATTTTTCCCAAGGATACTGAGACTGACATACAGGTTAGAAGAGCGAGGGAATCTGATCACTGACCTTTCGATTAGCCACCCGTGTTGCTCCCGATCAAATGTGCAGAGGTAGAACAGGTAAACTTCCAAGTTGGGAGAATAACTTTTTTGCCAAAGCCACTGAAAAATATCTGTCCAAATCATTTGTCTTTTACGTGGCATGTGCTGCCTCAGGTTATCTTATGTCTGAAAAGTTTTAACTGTTCTCCCTTTAAATCATTTTTTCTTGTTTCTGATTGGCTACCGGTTGCAAACACGAGAGATACACAAAACACAAGGTTTGAACGAGAGATGAGTGGGGCTCAGCGACAGCTGTGTACCTCGCCAGGTGCTTTTCTAACTCGTCTACGTCACATTTTGTAGAGGGTAGCCTGTAGCAGCTGTGGCAGTAGTTTGGGTTTACCCTTTTTCTTAAAATAATATTTCGAGTTTAATCTCAAAATAACGCTAATGAGTTTTTTTTTAATGTGGCCCCAAATACTCTGTCATCATTGACATGACATAGAGCCAAGGGCAGGGAAAAATAAAATAAAAAATCAATCTGCAGCCAGGAGTTTTGGTTCACAAGGATTAATTGCATACTTGCTGAACGTATCTCAATAAAATATATATATTTAAAAATGACTAATCTCTCACGCACATGTATTTGCGCACAGTAATATAAAGCCTATCTCAATTTTACACTCCCTCGTCGTGCTTTTTTTTCGACACAGCGTGACTCTTCCTCTCAATAGCAGATCTCCGTTACTACAGCTACCCCTCTCTCTCTCTCCTCCCTCCTCCTACTCCCAGCTCCTCTCTGTGAGCTCGAGCCACTCTTCCCTTTTGAGCATTCACTAGTTCTCCTCCCGAAACCTGCGCGAGGCGGCCACTGAAGCGCGAGGCGACTTCCCCCCTCTCCCCTTGACTCCAGTCAACATGGCTACAGTTGTAACCTCGACCAGATTCACAGACGAATATCAGCTGTACGAGGAACTCGGAAAGTAAGCGACCGTCAACGCCACCGCCGCCGTTGCTGCTGCTGCTCTTCTTGTTGCATTTAGTGTATGCTTGTTTGTATATGTGTGTGTGTGTTCGCACGCCCCCCCTCTCCGCTGCTGCTGTTGTGTTGACAGCGCGCGAGAGGGGCTGTCAAAAAGGAGAGAGAGAGAGAAAAAACAGGAAAGGGGTAGGCACCCTCCTGAGCAACAAAGAGCTGTCGGCAGGTTCATGTTAGCGCTGCAGAGGCTTGCAGTTAATCCTGCATGTGCGTTTAATGGTGCGTGGCAGCGTTGTGGCTCTCTTTGTAAGCCCAGAAGGTGGGAAACACCCCCCCCCCCCGTAGGAGCAACTTGCGAGTCAGTTGATCTGCAGGTAGCACGCGTCGAAAAGTCGTTTGTATGTGCTGGTTGCCTGGTGGCATCTCCGGGGTCCTGCTCAGCTCTGTTTTTGTGCATTTCTAAGCAGACTGCAGGGCTCTTGTGTATGCCAAAAAGAAAAAAAAACAAAAAAAAAAAACAGAAGAAGAACGAGAAACGGGCTTTGCTTGCAAAACGTCTATATGTATGTATATGTGTATATATATATATATATGTGTGTGTGTGTGTGTGTGTATATATATATATATATGTGTGTGTGTGTGTGTGTGTGTGTGTGTGATCCTGGCTGTATATATATATTCTGGCAGAGATTAGATCACATCTAATCTCTGCATGTGGCTAATAGGTTTAAGGAGGTATCTGTGCAAAAAAAGTAAATAAACTAAAATAATGAAGTCAGGTTGAGTAAAAAAAAGAAAATGCTAATAACACTTTTCAGTGGCTTCATTCTCCTGCAGCCTTACTCATGTTTCTTCCTGGCAGCTATGACTGGCTCCTTTCACATTGAGCCCCGTCACACACTAGTAGCCGGGACCTCTTGTCGTACACAGAATATCAGGCCGTGTTAATATTGCATATGACTTCCTTTCCCCTTTCTTTAAGACTATGTGATTCATGCATGCCCTTACTATGTGTGTGTGTGTGTGTGTGAGAGAGAGAGAGTGAGACAGACAGACAAGTTCAGTGCACTTTTCCCTGTGACACACTCATGTTTGTTATGTTTGAAGTGGTTTCACACCGATCTCTCATGTGTGGATCTGTCTTGCTTCAGGGGTGCCTTCTCCATCGTTCGTCGATGTATCAAGAAGTCCACCGGCCAGGAGTATGCCGCAAAAATTATCAACACAAAAAAGCTCTCGGCCAGAGGTGAGCGCAGCAGATATGCATTGTGCAGCTCAGCGTAACAGTCAAGTAGCAACATGAATTTATGCAAAATGAACGCTGACAACAGTAGGCTTCTGTAGTTGCTCAGTGAAGTCAGTTTATTTCCTTAAGAGCAGCGAGACAGGCGTTCTGTCATGTCCTTGACAGCAGAGATTCCTGAAAAGCTGGAGGCCACTTGGCACAGCTGGGCTGCCTTGGTTTAGGTCTCAACAGAGGGGTTAGCGGGCTTTGGTGGTTGTTCGCAACCATTTTTGGTTTGTTACAGTTACTGCTGATCTCTAGCAAAGGATTGCACAAGCTCCAAGCTTGAGCCTAAAATATCCACAGAGGCATGTACGATGCAATGCAGGGTAGTTTTGGTTTATTTTAATAGGGTTGCCTTTATTGGTGATGATAATGTTGCACTTACAGTCACCTTCTGCAAAGTGGTGAAAACACAGCAAAAAACATGAGTAATCACATGAGCAGGCAGGTTTTAAAGAAGCCTTTAGAGTGGCCACACTAACAGAGTGACTTCCTGAAATTGCATAAAAGGATTTCATTAGCTCCATTTTCTTTGTCTCTGTAATTGTTACACATTTGAGTCATGAAGCCAGCCTTTAATATGTCCGAGTATTGAATGTCTTAGTTACTGAAAGCAAACCAGTGTTGTTGAGATATTTCAGGAATCTAATAAAGAGTTGGTTCCATTTTTGAATTCAAATTGCCAAACATGACTCATCTCACATATTTGTATGTTATTGTCTATGAAATATATATAAAAAAAAAGGAGAGTAATCGGGTCGATCAAAAAATGTTCTTGTCAGATGAATACACTTTGGATTGGAGTCATTTCTTACTGGATGAAAACACAGTTGTGTCATGAAGTGGTCGTTGAGTTAGTTTTCTCTTTTTTGCATTGTGACGCATTTTGATTGACAGTATATCTACATACATTAATTTCAGCTCTTCTTTCATGTGAATTTAAAGTTACGCTCATCATCAAATCAAACAAATCAAACGAGTGGTCCAGAAAAGGTGTAAACAGCAGATGTCAGAGTACACGCAACTTGTTAGTATTATAAGGAAGCAAAGAAAAAATAACAGCCTCACATAGCATAGATCATGTAAGAAATATTGTAAAAGCTGTATGCTGTATTTTCATAGATTTGTGTGTTTATTAGATTAGTGTAGTTTCATGTCTGAGAGGTGCACAGGCAGCAGCAGCATGTGCTGTTTACATGTGAGACTGGTAGGCTGGTCATGTCATGGTCTATCTACTCATTGCGTATCTAATTTTTACCATTCAGTGCTGTCACTTCAAAGATTGAGTTTCACTGAATTCCAACTGATATACAATGTATCACAGATTCTGTTTGTGTTGGGCACATACACACTGTCTTAGATTAATTATTAACCATTACATTTTATTAATAGATTCACATAATCATCAGTTCCTTCAGTCATTTTCTTTCCTCTGGATAGACTCCAGCTCTTCGATCATTCACTGATGCACACGGTGGTGATTCTTGTTCTGCTCTGAAGCCTTTGTGAGCATGGTGTAGCAGCCCATGAAACTAGTCTCCACCTGCTGCAGGTTCTGGTTAGAATGGCCCTCCAGCTTGCAGCAGAATCAGGACCATCACTGGCAGCTGTAGTCCAAGACTGTCTTACCAACTGCTGGATGAGAGAGTCACTGGAGAGGTAGCTGAATGATACTGAGGGCTGCCCCAACATCAGCTTACATTAGATCAATTAGGAAACCACAGGAAGGCTAGGACACCCTGGTTAGAGATGATGCATTGCAAAAAAGGACGATCTATCCAGTTCATTGTGATTACAAGAGCAACAGCATAAAATGATATAAAGCTATTTTAAATACCCAAGTCAAACATCAGTGTTAACTGACTGAAGACGGGTGAAGTGCTGTACACATACAAAGACTATTTTGAATTTAAAAATATTGTCACCAATGGACTATTATATTTGACCAAAATGTTTGTGAAATGAGGGACAGTCAAACAGAGCTGTTAGCAACCCTTGCAGTCTTTTCAACGTTGGTTTTTTAAATGTGGTTACACAGCTGTCTTGTCTTCCAACTGTTCATGTGTCTGTCAGATTCTGTTGCAGTGATCTTGCCATGTTTCCAAACCTCTCTTGTTCCTTCAGTAACGTACAACCCAAGTTGTAAAAACCTGGATTTATTCCTTAAGCTATTGTATAATCTGCAAGTGTGTGTGTGTGTGTGTGTGTGTGTGTGTTCACATGCAGCATCTTAACACATGTTGAAATGCCACCACCTGTGTTTCGGTATTTGTGGCAGATTTGTTGTCATCGTCAGCCTGCTCGTGTCAAAGCATTTCATCTGCCATGTAGCTGAATCCAAGCATCACTTGTGTGTTGTTTGTTTTGGTTACCACATGTGTTTGTGTTTTCACATGTATCTCACTGTATCTCATCGTGTTTTTGTGTATGTCGCAGACTGATTGTGTGTGTGTGTGTGTGCGCTAGCGTGCTGCATATTTGTCCGAGTAAGCATCAGACCAGGCCACCGAAAGGTTGAGTGATGATGTGAGCTGCAGATCAGGGCCAGTTTTGGACTGATTGGTCTTGTTTTTTTTCCCCAGGGGATGCAGGCTGAATTGCTCTGTCTCCCCTTTAGTCTCACTCAAACACCCCCGACCATGTCATTTTCCTTCCTTTTCAAATTGTTTTTCTCCTGCCCGCCCTCTCCCTACTCTATAAGCAAAAAATTGATTTGAGGAAAGATCTTAAAACTCTTTTCCGCAGCCGATTTGATCGTGTGTGTGGCTGCGTTGGCAGTGGTCCGGAGCTAGTAACCCGGCAACAGCAGGGGTGAAATTCTTCATCCCATAGGCTGTCTGGCAGGGAGACCGATCGCTGTGTGAGTGTGTGTGTGTGAGTGTGTGTGTGTATGTGTATTTGTTGGATGTGGTTATAATTATCGTGCAAACATGCACACTTGCAGACAACTTCTCATTTCTCATGACACGAAAACAGTTGCGCACTTTTTTTTCTCACCTCCTTAATGGTCTCACACTAAACTGTATGCATACAGGGCTTCTCTCTTAATAGTTTCACATTGTGACAGAGAATACATAATAGTGCCACCTTCTGTCATTAATCAGGCCTGAAATGTTCACAAACATGAAGCTTTGTATGTGTGAAACCCTGAATCTTAACCACACCATGTAAGGATTTTAAAGAATAAATTTGCTTTATTTAAACTTCTTTTAATCGTTTAGGCCACCATTTCTCCATTTCTTTATGTCAGTAACCACACTTGCCAAATTAATCTGATCTGGGAAAGCGGCAAACTTCTTGTCAGGAACGACGAGCCTTTGTCTGATCGGACGGGCGTGTAACCAGTGAATGCTTCAGACAAGGCAAATAGATTTCAGGTGAAAAAGAATTGCATATAATACCACTTTTGCTCAAACTGTTGTTGTAAACATTTTGCAGATCAACCTGAATCTAGTGTTTGTTTTTTTCACTGATGACGTTATATAAAAATTTTTTTTTAAAAGTCTTATATACACTTTTTATAATGTGTTCCACAAGAAGCCTTCAGCCAGTCTACAAAGACATTTGTTACGCTTAATTTAGTCAAGTAAAAGAATGCATTCTGATTATACTTCTAGAGCAAGACTATTATATAGCAAACAAGCTATAACAAGCCTGAATTTAATAGCTAAAAGTAGAATACGGCGTTTAAATCAAAACGATACTGACATAAAGGGCGAAAAATTAAACCTTAATTTTAGTCGTCTCACTGGTTGAAACAAGTTTAATTCCAGATAAAAAGTATAAGATCTCTGATAACGAATCATACAGCCTGGCTGTCTGCCATGAAACTGGCAGCACGTAAAAAGGAAACTTGCCTTTACAGCTCAGTCACTTTTTGGATTGGGTTTGTAGAAACATAGATAACTTTTGTTGTACTTTCATGCCTCTTTACAGTTCAGTCACTTTCTGAAGCCTCTGATCGCTGTCTACGACTAAACATCTTTGCTGGAATGTGTTTTCAAACATCAGCATGATAACTAGATGTAAATTATATATAGGACTCGGTTTGCAGTCAATAAACATGTGGACTACTTAACTTCCCACCTCAGCATCATCTACCTTGTTTGTTGCACATGACTTTGCAGACATTTGGACCAAACGTAACTTCTAAAATATAATGTTTATGCATTGAATAAGTACACTTAATCTAGGAGGCTGCAGATTGTGCAGTTGTGGCTTTACTGTATGCTGTACAGTTGTATCACTGTCCCAGTGGCATAATCTGTCTGTACATTGACATGTGCAAGGACTGCCTTGGTGGTAGTTTCTAATAAAAGACCAAGACCATGCTTGTGATCTGTAACTGAAAGTATGTACCATTTGCATTTTGTATTAAAAAAAGTTTATAGTAAAATTTAGTGAAATGGACCCAGATCAGTGTCTGTGAAGTGAACTCATGATCTTTTGTAATTTAGGGCGGCTTGTTTTGGTGAAGCAGACTGATCTCGATGACGTTTTGTCATTATCATTTCACTCAAGTAATTTTGAGTATTTATTATTGAATTCAGATAAATAAAAAATGAACTCACTAACATCTGTAATATTAGCAGAGGTGATTATTATTTTAGGCTGGATGGTGAGCTTGCTATACTTTTAATAAAAAATATTTAGATCGTGTTGCTGAGCGTTGCCTTGTTTGTAGCGTTGTCCAAACATTTGCGTTCCTCGTGCCTGCTGTGTTGTAGAGACGTCTCTGTGTTCTCAGATCTCAGCAGTTACCTTTTAGACAATGTGAGAATGAATTGCTAGAAGGATCATGTCTTCATTAAAGGTGGACACTTGTGCTTGGTTGCATTTATACACCACTGCAGCAGCTAGAGGTTCAGTGCCTTACTCTCTGGATCTGTTCACAACTAGAAATTAACACACACTTTATATATCGTCTGATCTCTGCCTGTGAGCTCCCTCTCAGCTTT